GGGGGGGGAGCAGGGGTGGCCCTCTGCCCGGCAGCATCTGCTGAGCTGGGGCTTTTTTTCCTCCAAGTGCTGGGAGCTGGGGTGGGTAGGACAGCCATTGCAGGGCTGGGAGAGCGGGCAGGGGATGGGCCTGGCCCAGCTGATTCAGAGATTCGGCTGCTGCTGAATCTCCTAATCTGATTCGGCCGCATCAAATCAGGACAGTGATTCAAATCACCAAATTGAATCACTGTCCCCCGAATCAGCTGAATCTGAAGCGAATACTAGCTGCTGTACACAGGCCTAGTAAATACCACAGTAACTAAGTGAAATGTCAAAGGCTGGTAGGCAGAGTCAAGTGTTCTTGTTTTAAATTTAATTAGTTTTAGCCCTTGAGGCCTGATGCAGTGAAGCAGTGTGAAAAAGCTAAGAACTTAATTTCACAAGTTTATTAATTCTTTTAGACATGAAGAAGAGCACCGACGTCGTGAAGAAGAGATGTTACGCCAGCGAGAACAGGAAGAACTCAGACGGCAGCAGGAAGGAGGGTTTAAACCAAATTTCATGGACAATGTAAGTAGAATCTTTGCTTAACATCTCAAGTGTAAAGTAAAAAAAATAAGGTTGGTCTGGCATGACTGTCCCTGTATTCTCTAGGAGGACCAGATGGATGTGATTTCTTCCTGTGACTTCTTCCTGTCTGCTCTTGCTCTTACTCTTACGTCTTTTGAATAGTGCTACTTTTTTACAGCAAAATGACAGCAGTTCATTTTTATGGCCCACTTCTCGCATTGCAGTTTTGTCTTTGGTACATAATGACAAATACTTTCTTTTCTCCCAGTGACTCAGGATTTCAGCTAATAGAAAGTGTATAAATATTTATATATTTACACATTCAGGACCTCATCTCTTGTATAAATTTGCTCTCCCAACAATACCACTTTTCTTCAAGGGTCATACATATTTCCCATATTTTCTCTGGGCTGCATCCAAATGGAGAGTTGCATTGGTTTGGTTAAAGTTGTGAATTTTAAATCTGTTTACACTGGTGCAGACCTCTGTTTGGACATTTTTCTTTTGGTTTATGTTAAGTTTATCTGAATCAGTAAGCAGCTCTTAAAAAGAAGTGTCCACGCAAGGGTTTATGCAGGTTTTAATATATAAGAAAAAGGATGTAAACAGGGTATAAGATTGCTGCCCACCTTGAATCTACTATAACTAGTGGAGTGAGAATATAATTTTCTTCAAAGCCCTTCTAGCTAAACACTTAAGAAAACCTAAAAAGAAGAAAAATGTTCTTTTCTTCTATTGTGAATGCATTGGGTTTTTAAAAATTCTGCTTTTTTACATTAGTAATTTAGGTCTGGTCTGCTCTTGGAAGAAAAGTGCCTGGAAAAATAGTGAAGCAGTGACATCACAAAAGAATGTCTGGTATATACAGAATTATTGTTTTGATTTGGTTAAGGGTGTAACTAAGACCACTTGGATACTTAAAATAAAGGGTATCCATGCCTTACATGGATAGAACTGTTTTTGAAGGGAACTAAGCTTTATGAGTATCAGTCTGCTTTACACCATTACAATGACTTCCACACTTATGTAGTTTGTGCCAGCATTTTAACTTCACTTTTAATTTGAGGGAAACATTTTAACTTGACATGAAGTGGTACTATTCATTGTGTAGCTATTGGCTTAGCTGTTGAAAACATGAAGAAATGTTTCATTAATTTCATGTTTTTTGGAAAGGAACATAATCTTTTGTAAACATTCAGGTTTATCACATTTTCTGTTATGACTGATGAAAGTATATTTGTGTTCTAAAACATCTTGAGAAATTCTTCAGAAAACTTAGGTAGGTTCCTTCCTGGAGAGATGTGTGGGAGAGGGGGAACACAAAGCTGGGTCAATAAGTTGTTAAGGTTATTTTTAAACAGGTATCTGGATGTGGTGTTGCTACCTGCTAGTAGAGTTTTTGGCCAGTTTAACTAGTTGATTACATCACCAAAAAGAAGTTTTCAGCAGAGAGTTGGTTTTTGTTTTTTGTTTTTTTGCTGGTTTTCACTCGCATACATCCTTGCATTGTGAAAAAAGATATATGTAAGGATTAAGCATTTATTTTTTCTTTAGGGTAATAGAGGATGTAAGATATAACAGTTTTTATAAGTCAAGTGGTTAAAAGTTGATACCTTTTGTGTGCATTTATAAATTTATTATGATACTGTCGCAGAGCACTCAGGTGCTCTGCGCCTGAGAGCAGAAGAACAGCTTGAGAGAGACCCCTAGTGGCAAGAAGGGGGAGGCTCAGCTGCGAGTCACCAGGGCAGCCAGAGTGCAGGTTGCTAGGCCAATCAGTGGGGCCAGCTGACAGGAAGGGGCAGGGCCTGGCCCATATAAGCCCAGGCAGGAGGGCAGTTCCTCTGTGGCAGCTGAGGGAGGAAGAGCTCAGCTAGTACAGATGGAGGGGAGAACTCTGACTGTGTGAGCATCCCCTGGCTGCTACTGGGGTTGGAGTATTTTTCTGGTAGGGATTGAATGTTGTTTGGCCGGATGGTCTAGCTTTTTATGTTATAGCCTAGGGACTTTGTGTTTTTGTGTTTACTGTTTTAACCGGAGGACTGGGTGAGGCTATTAGGGGTTGGAGGAGGCCGCGTGGGGATCCTTGCGCCAGAAAGGGCGCAGCATTTGGGGTGCATTGGCCCCAGAGCAAGGGGGGCAGTGAGGAGACCGGAGAGAGGGCTGTGAGGAGCGGGAAGCCCCCAGAGCAAGGGGGGCAGCGGGAAGCCCCTGAGAGAGAAGGCAAAGACCACATTAGTACCATCTGCAAGGCTTGGGCTGCAGTGTAGGGGTGGTAAAGGAGCTGCAGATAGCACCCCCTGGCACTGGGGTGCGTAAAGTGGGCAGCCTCCTGCTAATTACATCAGTCAATTAATTAAGATCATGGCATGGCAGGTGAGTAAGCAGGCAGTTGGCCCATAACAGGAGGGCGGAGCCACCAATAGAACAGGCTCTAGTAGAGATGCTCCTGTCACAGGTACAGTTAGAAACTTAGAACATTTTGAATTTTGTGGTGCTTTACAGTTGTGTAATATGATTTTATAGGGCTGGAAGGGGACCTCTAATTTAACTCCCTGGTCAAGGAAGGATCATCTCTATCCAAACCATCCTTTTCAAGTTCTGTTCTAAGCTATTCCTAAAGCTATATGATTGACTCTGTTGTACAACTACAAGGCATATTGGCCAAAGACATGAAAAGTACCCTAATCTGCTACAGTTAAAGCAGGGGGATGTGGGCCATCAGTGACCTGGTGCTACCAAATTTTAGTAAATTTAGCTGCAATTTGCATTTAATCTCAAGATTTACAACATAAGATCTGTTACATACAGCATTCATTTTATGTAACTACAGCCTTAAACATGTTTGGATATATACTACAGGTCCTGTTATTTCAGTGATATTTGGCTCATCTTCAAAGGAGAAGCGCTGAACACCAAACTGAATGTAGCTTGATAATTACTGTGTCATATATGCACTTATTACACAATTGTAAAGGTTAGGATGACTTTCCAGGTAGAATAAGCCTGAAGCATTTCAAAATATTTTTGAAAAATTTGTGATTGTTCCGCTGAGGTCCATCCTGTTTTATCAATTTCTGATAATTGGAAACTAATAGTCTGCTGCAGAAAACATGTATTCAGAAGTATATCACTGCTAAAATTGATCTGAATTATGCTATATATTGTTATGAATACATGTTATATTTTCAAATGGGAATGTTACATGAACTTAAATGACAGTTCTGTAAAATGCTTTGAAAGAGTCGATTTTGTTTAGTCAGTTGTAGTGATTCTGCTGCTGTTGTGATATGTTGGCTTTTACTGAAGTAGCTTAATTTAAAATGCAAAAAAAAAGAATGGAAATTGCATGCCCCTTTTACTATTTCCTTTACTAGTAGTTTTCATTGTACGGGACTTATGTCATTCTTGAATATGGAAGATGAAACGAGTTTCATAGATAGCTACTTAAGTTCTAACATATCAATGAGATTCTTCATTGAAAAGTAGGCATTTTGGAGTAGACCAGAAATGTGAACCACTGTTACTGGATACTGTGAAAAGATGCATTTAATGGAATATCTACTATCATCTTGACAATTTCTTCTTTAATCAAATTATTTTAGTTGTCTGAAATTTGTTATTTTTAGCATAATATTTGTGGGGGGGTTTTACTATATCAGAACTTCATAATGGGTTTCCCAGCCTACTTTAAGTATGGCATATTTCTTAATCTTTAGAGCATTATGTATTTTCTATGGAAGGAAATGATAATCTATTTCTAATACTTGTTTTTGTTTCTTAAAAGCTTTGAAAAAGTAAGCTTCCTTCACTTATATCCTATCCTTTTTCACTGTTCAGTTTAAAAGAAGGACCTAAATGGTAAGTGTAATGGCCACCCAGAGACTGTTATATCGAACTATTTTCATTTATTTATGACTTTCCCTGTCTTTTTACTTTCAAATTTGTAAACTCCAATTTTTTTCACTGTGTTTTGCCTTATTTTGAGAAGAAAATTCTTGCACACTCTAGTCAGTACACTTTGGAAATTAATATATTCAGTTGCCTGTAGATGTTTCGTTTTATTTTTAATTGACAAAAATTGTAAACAGTGCTACAGAGCTGTTCATTTGCTGTACTTCCTTGATATGATAGTTGAAGTTTTACCAAGTTTGTAGTCTGGTGGTAGTGGCATTAGGGACAGCCCAGAGATGTTCAAAGAATTTACTTCAATATTTTTTTTTAATGGAGTGAGAGTTGTCTTTAAATTTAAAGCTTAAAAAAGTTTCATATCTCACTTAACTTTCTAAGAGCTAATCATTATACAATGTTGTTATAGTTGGAAGATCACTACATAAATTTTAGTTTTGAAATCTGTTTTATTCTTTTCTCCTTTATCTTTTCAGGTATCTCCTAGTTTGCATAAATACTGTAATTTGCTAGAAGGAGAACTTATTTACAGTGGGTAGCAAATATAGCAATTTATTTTCCATCACCTCATGTTTATTTGTTTAAAAGCAATATTTTCTAATTTAAACACAGTTAATTTATAGGCTATTCAAATAGTAAAATGGTTAGCATCCAGGTTTGAGTGGCTTTTAAAATTTAAGGTTGTAGGTTTGTGTATCAGAATATTTTCACCAGATGTTCATTTCAGTGCATAAAAGCTGCTTTTATTTCAGTGCACTGATTTAATGTGGGATTGTTCTGATCCAGCACCAGAAAAAAATACTGAATCTTCTTATCGGGTCAGCAAAAACCCTCAAAATAAGCAAGGTTGGTATTCTTAGATTTGGATGCGACCCAACTGTAATTCTGTAGCAGTGGCATAAAACAATTATAACATGACCAGATGAATATTGTAACTTGATGAAATGTTAAATGCAGTAATTTAGCAGCGACTTTTAGAGCAGATTTTTAAAATTTAAAAAGGGAATTATGACGCATACTTTAAGTAAAATGGTCAGTGATACACAAGTCCTGTTGCTAAAAGTGACATAGGTACTTAAATGATTGAAGGC